TTGGTGCGATGCTTTCGATCGGGACCATAGTAACGGGCAACACAGTAGCGGGTTTCATACTCAGCTAGTTGTGTCATTACAAAGCACATCCCATGTGGCTGTTGTCTAAAACACGAACGGCTTCACTGAATCGAAGTTGCCATGGTGAGAGATACAGAAAATATTTGTGCAATCCAACATGAACTATGGCGTTGCCACAGTTCAAAACCCAAGTTATTCTAAAATGCCGTGCTGCCTTTGAGATAGTACAAGTGACCCCGGAAACTGCAAATTGGGAAAAAAGCTACTGGTGAGGGGATATTAAAACGATAAAGACTATAGCCGATGCATTTGGCTTCTGTGACCACGAACTAACCGGGTGTGAAGTGAACGCGCAACTGGACGCATATATTTTCAGCGGCTAATCAAAGTTCTAAATGATACTAGAAATATTCACGTAAAAGGCAAGTGAAACATCGAAATTCGTAATAGTCACACGACCGCGACCGGCATAACTTTTGCAGTGACGGTTGAGCGAACGTGGTGCTTTTCTCCGAGGTCATTGCTTTCGAGTTTAATTGCTCTCGACAGTCAGCTCGAACAGCTTGAATGGGTGGGCATACTAGGCGTCAGAAAACACAAAGCAAGTCTATAGACCAGTTTCCGGCTCAATCCGGGTACCACTGGCCTGTCGCACTCGCTTGTTCCGAGTGACTGAGCGACTGCAGATGATCCAACCAGTGAAATGCAATTATCGTTTTCGCAGCGGCTATACAAGTGCTCAATCTCTGTTCAGGAAACTGAGAATCGTTCCGAATGCATGACGGGCACCACAACAACGGACTCTTTTGTTAAAGGGACAGAGTGTGGGCACTGCTAAATCTGATTCCATAAACTGATGAGTTTGTCTACTAAATATCATAGATAAAGTGTTTGGCTCACATCTTTCCGAGAAATTTTCCGAAACAACTTGATGATAGAATCAAATCATATCCCCGATAATGTGCGATGCTAAGGCATCGAGGTTGAAAATTCTGGTGCATAAATTACTGAAGTAGTGGAGGGATCCCGTTCAATGTCCAAATCTCGCTGTGTATTCATCGGTTTTGTGGACATTTCCGCTACAGCCTCCAAGGCTTAAGATTGCGGAAGATTTTGCAGTACATCGGGAACTTCGCCTCGCTCCAAGCAACATTACCAAGAGTTAGAGTTTCTCATGCTTCAGAACGCAGTATGCGCCACATAACACATCAGGCACACGCACAGACAATTTGGATTACAACAGAAAACCTTTTAGTGAAACACTGAAGAAACGTGTACATCTTTCGGTCTAAAAATTTGGATCACTGAATAACTGGTATCAAAAATGGATTTCCTGGTCAGCAGTGGTCAAACAGCTGGATGCCTGCGCATAGTAATTAGTCGCAGAATGTCTGCCGGAAGCCGCTAATGGTGCTCCACACAAGCTTCTGGAGCCAACGTAGATTCGAGGGAGTAAGATCGGCGGGCGAACGAGCACAGCCCTGTTGAAAGCTATAGGTCGACCTGAACATGACGGCGCAACCACGGGGCATCGATATTTAGACGTCAGGCGTCAATTCTGTTGAGTGTCAGCATATTCCTGAACAATGTAATTGTTACCGCGAATCGCCCATTAATAGTGGATAATGGCGGTACTATGTTAACATGGAGGATTATAATACTATCTTGTCTTTAAGATGATAATGTCGGATGGACAATCAATAAAAAATGGGACACATACTTCGGTCTCAGATAGTCACATTTATCAGGTAGATCAGTGAGTACGCTAGTGACTCACAAAGTCGATCCGCCTAAGTTAATTGTGTAGTTTCTGCAACTGAGTGTTGCAGTCTTTTACAGAGGTCATTGCAGGAATTATCTTTGTTGGATCCCTTGGGCACGACCGCACACGCGCGTTCAGTGCGATTTCAGCTGATAGACCGTGGCAGTAGGCGACATTGCAAACAAGTCTCGTGTTCATTCCTGGTAAGCGGTTCCTTAAAGGGTTGTAGGGTCCAACCCTACACACAGGTCCCATCCGATTCGAGCTCCAGCCTGCTAGTCGGTCAGCAGCACGGCTTTCAAAGTCACAACAGAGACTTATATGCTTTAAAACCCATTTAATGGATTCAGGGTGTTTCCCGTGTGGAACATTCAGCCAGCTTGAACTTTAGGGGAGTGCAACCTACCACCTGTAAATGCCTGACCCTGCTAGTCGGTCAGCAGCACGGCTTTCAGAGTCACAACAGAGACTTATATGCTTCAAAACCCATTTAATGGATTCAGGGTGATTCCCGTGTGGAACATTCAGCCAGCTTGAGCTTTAAGGGAGTGCAACCTATCACCTGTAAATGCCTGATAGCATATTGTAATTCAAAGTCATTCGATTTACGCCAGCAAAGGACCAAATCGCCTCGCACACTATCGGTTAAATTCGACGAAAACGTTGGCCAAGTAGTCCACAGAAACAAAAAAGAAAACTATACATGGTGTCCTCAACGTGGTCAGAAAAGTTTCTAACCAAGTAAAAAAATAACGCCCTGCCTTTGGAATGTGCAAGAATATACCTACAGTCCATGATATGAAGACGAAGTTGCTGAAAAAGAGGCATTTAGAGAATGACGATCCAGGGCTGGAAATACTGTACGGAGTTGATTGTGTGTTATTTACATGCGGATAAAAAGTTCTCTCTTGTTGATCGATCAAACGCGATCCTTACTGGAACCAAAAATAATGAGGTATGATCACGCAAAGAAGACCTCAGAGGTCTCAGAAAGGTCGGTGTCAGTTCTTGTTAAGACAAATACATTAGGGGCAGCGGCACGGTTCGACTAGATGGTCTATAAGGAGTCAACCCGAAGGAGGGCTGCGTCAATAGGAAGACCTGTTGGAGGCAGAAAGCTTAGATGGACACCAGTACAGCAAGGAACACAGGGAAACTGTCTCAACTTATGCGGAAAACAGCGCTCAAGACTCGATCTGTTGCCAAGCCTATCGTAGATAACGTTGGGAAGCCACTTTCTGGTAGACGACAGTATCTAGACCGTTGGGTGGAATATTTACAGTAAGTTAGTAGGTCACCTGCTTTTATACCTCTGCGTTTCATTCACGGCACACTTGGAGCCATAAAAATCCATCGGGCCGCCGGGTCAGAAGTGCTTCCACCAGCACCACTTAAAAACGATACCGCCTTACCCCACGTGGGACAACTTTGTCTTTTGCCCCATAGTTATAGTGCCCGAAATTGTATTGGAACAAGAACGTCCTGCAGAAAGTTGTGGTCCATACGTCAACACTAACACAAAGCAGCCCCTGGCCACTTTGTTCTTTCTTGACTGCACATAAGATGAGCAAGATGATAAATTTATTGTATCTCATGGAGTTAGTTTTGAGCAAAATTTACTTGGGAACTTGGTTTGGGAAGACGGGGTCTCCTCAGAACCCCTAAATTCAACCGAAATCCCAATGGACCAAACAAGAGTGGGCAACTTTGAATGTTCACACCTCTCGCAGACGGTCCTTCTATAGAGTGACTAAATTAAAGAAACTTTCATGTCAGCTCTGGTCTTACACACAACCGAAATTCTGCTCGAATCAATTACAAGTTCATCATCATCCAACATCAGTGACTTGGGGTGGGAAAATTTACCGTGCAGATTTAGCATCAAGTTAAGGATCTTAGATTCTCGTCCCACACAATATTTGTAGGTACATATGAGTAGTATGACGTTGTCTGTACTGGGGCCATGGACATGTATGTGTAAGTGTACTTTCAATTCTGTGAAAACAGCATTAGACGAACTTGTTACCGCAGGCTGTTCTGTTGATTTCGGAAGCAGGTACTGGTTCAAATGGAGTGCCAGCACTATGTTCGCCACAAAGGACGATTGTATCTTATCACGTCTACCTCCACTGTGTAAAGTCCCAGTCGAATCCAGCCAAACTTGATCAAACCTATCGAATAAGTAGGAGCAATCGGACAGCTAGTATAGCTTAGGTGCTATTTGGCTCGAAGAAGGAACGAAGATAGCATATGTGCACACCAAAATGGCGATTCAAACTAGCCCCAGTGGAGGTGAACTTAAATTAATGTAACTTAATTCGATGGTACTGTTCTCTATGGGAACCGACAAAGTGCGGTTGGAGTAACAGAGATTGATAATTCCGAAATCCAGAGTCACGTGAAAATAGTCTGTCTGACATCTCAATGTGAACTTTCTTATGTTGAGTCTGAGCTCATTTTTCAGGCAAGGAAAAGGAAAGCTCAAGCAGCAAACAACAAACTGAGACGACGAACAATGGATTAATTCATTGCCTTTTCAGGTTGATCATTCACTAGCTATTTTGCTGCAGAAATTCATTCGTTTAGTCGAAGGTTCTTTCTTTTTAGGGATCCAGATAAACTGCAGCATCGTTTATCCACCCGATTACATCCCGGAAGCTTGTGAAAAACTAATGTCTTGAATTCAAACGTCGGTTTATTACTACCGTTCTAAATAAATCAGATCAACGTAGAATCAGGTGTCACAGAATGATCTACAGCAGCTCTAATGGGACAATGACAATGAGTTTCCGGCCTGAAAAGGTTTCCCAAGTTCACACGCCTGTCGACCTGACATGTCGCATGTTTCACTTGCAGCTCACTGTGCTGTAGATATGTGATGTGAGTTTGCACATCGCTACACTAAGAGGACGTCTTTATCTGTATTCTTTAGATAAACTAGTAAAAAGCAATTTCACATGACGGTATGTACTTTCCAAGTTAGGAATGCAACGGTAATAAAGGTCCATTGAGGCCACTGACCAGCTCCCGGTTTTATTCTCGGGAACTCACAATATGCACCCGAAATAGTCCTTACTTTCACTTGGATTCCCAGTTAAGTGATTACGGATGCTCAAAAGAACCATAAGAGGCTTGTTTCATGAGAAAATCGTAATAACTGCATCAGCAAAACGGTGAAATAACAACTGACCCTAGAGCCGGAGGGGGGCGAGATCGCTCAGTGGTTTGGGCGCAAATTTACTGACCGGATTGTCCGTGGTCCGAACCCGACCCCTGCCTCTCGACTTTCCCTGTCTAGGCTTGGGCAACTCGGCAGTATCCTAGCCCTCGTGCTTCCTTCTGGTCTCATGGCAGTTAGACACCGAATGGCTGCTACAGCTGACCTATAGCCCTGGTGCAGGTTCTTGTCTGAAAAGACCATGTGGTTTGACGATCGGAGACAAGAGCTTCTATCAACAGAAGGAAACTAAACTCAAATTAAATGGAGTGAGATAAGCAGTTGAATAACACTCAATCATACGACAGCTCTTTCCAGGTATATTTGGCAATTTTCACTGGTTCATTCACCGAATGTCTGCCTCGAGACACAGCAGGAATTGACGCAGTAGGATAAGTGAATGAAATGTCTTAAACCCCTCTGTTTTCATGAAGCAAGAAGAATGAATCGGCCGGTCAAACCTAAATCAAAGAGAGTGTTGCCATTCTTCGAAGGCCATATATTTGGCGCTAAAAAACTACATCTTTCCGCCAAGTTAAGACGACAAATCCAATTGATGAAATGCTCCACTAGTTGTTATGTCCGCAGAATGCGTTTTGTGAAATGACGTAACTGATATCTATTGACCAGTAGGTTCGATAAAAGCTTTGTTCAGAGCCTGGACTTGTCGTAAGACCAAAATCGCTTACCGTCACTTTTTTTGAAGACACAGAAAGACGTCATAAGTAGGATGGAATGTGACCGTTTCCATCTGATACGTGTGCAGCCTATGCAACCCTGGGACGAATGGTTCATGAACACTGCCAAGAATAACAGTGCACAAGCTTTATATTACCGGTCCTTTTCGTACAATGTTAACCACTTACCCATGTAGCACTGAAAAGCATCGCCAAACCACAAATAGAATGAATTGCGTTGCAGTGTCAACATACACGTTATTACTATGCTGTATTTCCATCCGCAAGAAAGATTACCAGATGATAGGAAATCTCTTGGCCTCTTCTTGGAAAGAAAATTATTCAAGTAGGTATGTAGGATCAAGATGAGTGCTCCATGCTTCTACGGAAACCGTGTCAACTCTCCGTAATTTTAAACTGCATGTCTTCTCCTGGTGGGTGCCTCTAAGTATAAACACATTTTTCGGTTTTTACTTCAAAGAAAACGGACGGATTTACTCGTTCGGATAGACAGCATTTCATTTATTTCACTTGTTTTTATTTCGTTTTTTAAACGCCCTTAAAAAATCTTCATTCGTAATCACATCCAGTATAGCGAGAAATATCGCAGTCCAAAGTTGACACCGAACAGTGAGCTATACAACAATATCTTGAACGATCAGCTAAATGTCAACCTGAAACCTGTCCAAACGGAGAAATCGGCCTTCTTAAGCTAGGGTAGTTGCAAGTTCACAGTACTGATAACTGATGATACTTGTTTTACCCAGCTTTATAGAAATACATCTTGAATGTGCTTCAGCAATACACTGGCAATCGAACCTACGCTGACTCCAAAAGTTACTTGTTCATATTCTGTCTTCACCGATGCCTCTTGCATAGAACATTTTAGCTGGCAGTAAGGTGTTCTCAGTGGGACGAGGTCTAAAATGGAAGTTGGTAACAAGTCAGAATCAGTAGCGCATTAAGAGAAAGTCATGAGATTAAAATGTTGGGGCCACCTAGTATGAAGCCTTGGTTTACAGGGATAAGTGCTTCTTCAGTTCTTCAGTATTTCTGGCGAAAGTTGGTGAGAGCCAGGCCATAACATGGCAAAGCAGAGCCACAGCGGTTATAGACGCATTCAATGTACTCAAGTCGCCTAGGGTACCTGGCTGTGCCCCACACATTTCGACTTACAAGTGAATGAGAAGTCTCACTCAAACAATTTTGGACAGAGCTCTCACACCAGCTTACTCTAATGCTTCCTTAGGTATCATAACCACAAGATTTAGTGTAAAAACTCCATCGACTACTGCTGAGAACTGATCCACATCGGCAGATGTTTGATATGAGCATGCCAAAACTGGCTTCTGATGAATCCAGTCATCCATATCCTTTGAGGCGAGTGTGAACTACCATTCGGTTGTCAAAATCCGTCCACCAGAATGCGGGAACGCAGTAATCCACAACAATCCAAGGTATTCATTATCCTTGATTCGGTTTCACTGGGTGGACTACATATACGGCAGGGGCAAACCGCAGTGAAATGACTCCTGCACTGACTGTCTCTCTTTCCTTGCCCGAATCTCATTCGAACCCCATTTGCTCACCAGGCGATTTGATTATCTTCAACGTGATAGACAGGGCGAGTTCATGTGTATTTCCATGATTACCTAACACTGTCGAGGCCCATAGAACAAGGTACAGATACCAAACCAGAGCGCAAATAACTGTTTTGTAGTGAGAATGTTTCTTGTGGCAGTCATCAGAGGTTCTTCTGTTGTTTTACCCTATAGGCTGAAATCACTTCCTCCATAGGACTGGAAGCCTGATGCTTGGTCGAGGGACTACTGTACACCTAGCCATCTATCACTCTCCTACAGAAGTCTGACCGTCGCTATTAACGATTCCGCAGTAACAGTAGCAGACTTGATGTGCGCTTTCGACGGGATGTGGCAAGTCCATTAGGCGAGCGACCTGGATCGATCGTTATTTCCACAAGCCCTCCATTGTGGCATATCCATGCTGCTCACGCCAGCGCCGTACAACGTGGCTGCGCTCCCACTTTTGGACATCACTCTGTCTGCCAGTATCGTGCTCGTCTAGACATAAGAACCCAGTAAACTGACAGCACTGCTGTCTGTTGCGGTGTTGCGTGTTTCGACATAGTGAAATTTGGTGGGTGCATGGTAGGAGTCAAATCAAGGAAAAAAATACCACATGTAAGGATGTATTCATCAAATACACCTGAAGTTTGCTCTGCATGAAAGATTCTTTACGTGCTCCGTCAACAGCTTATTGTTCAGCTGACACTTGCAGCAGCTTGAGTAGTGCCAACGACTCAAATAAACAGACTTCTGATCTACGGCAAGCTTAGGAGTCAAGTAATTTTAACAGATGGAAACTTACAAGATGGTAGCAATTAGCTGTTTTTATTGTCGATGTGCCAAATTGAGGATAATTACGAAGGTCGTGCTTGTTTAGTTCGGTATCTATCGCATTTCGCTTCTGGATTCTTGAAGTTCCATTCCTGTAAACCTTGAGTTCAAAGGCTTTGCTAGCTCTAAGTGGTTCTTTAAAGTTATTTATTTGTACATGACTGAGCATGATAGAGAATGTCTGATATTTGTAACCACAAGCTACGAAGAAATTGATGGGGTCACTTGATAGAGTCAGTTTGAAAAGTCACTGAGGTCGACGCTGACTTGTCGGATAAGCTCAAAGTAAGTGTAGTAAGTGTAGTTCCTTTTTATGAAAAACTTTGTAAGCATACTTACAACATACTAATTATCAAATAACAAGTAAGCGGAAAGATTGTTTCAAATCTCGACTCACTCTTCAAAGCACATGGTTCATATGTGAACAGCATGGTTGAATGCAGTGGATATTCATATTTCAAACAAACGGGATGTTTAACTACTCAACCAGTTTGCCGGAAATCTATGTTTTTGTACTTTACAAGTTTTTGTCACATTCGATATTAAAGAAATTTTCACTCCTAAGGCACCGGCTAAGGAACCCCAGGGAGTATGGAAGAAATCAACTTAGCTGCTTTATTGGATGTAATCAAGACCCAGCATCACTCTAGAACAAACCAGCTTATCTGTACAGCGCACCATGAAGATGGTGTAGAGGGCGTGTATTTAATGCTATGCAACCGGTGATTATGAACTGCACAAAGGTACTGCATATATCATGCCTCGATTCATCCACAAGTCACTGTATGCAGTAAATCCATCCAAACCTGCGTTGAATTCGGTCTCATCACAATAACTGTTGTGTTCCCAGAAATCGACCAAAACACTCGCTCGTAACTGGTTGTGTGGCGTTCGGAGTCAGTCAATCCGGGGTTTCTTCGAACTGGTCGATTGTTTTAAATGGAAGTGATAGCAAAAACAGCTGAGTACTGATTGGGTTATCGAAGTCCGATTTCGCTTGCAGCTGTTTGGATCCTCATTGTTATTGACCAGTGCTTGCAATGCACTCGTCTCAGCTTTGCATGTAGGAAAGGGATATCTGGATTTGTACAGGTCAACTGAACAGAGCAAACAGAATATGGTCTACCCTGAACGCTGGTCTTCCCTGAGAGGGAACCGAGTGAAAAGAGTTATGAAGAAAGGGAGGAAACTTTTTTTTAGCAGTTTTACTCTCTATTTCACGTTTATTTTGCAATGTGAATTGTGATTTGGGCATAAGTTCTTCTGGTTCGTGTAATATGGCCACCCTTAGCTAAGTCGACCACTTTCCAAGCATTAACAAGGATGCGGTGATGAGATTCGTGCTGAGACACAACAGACACAAGCTTGCAAGGTACGCTGAATTCAACAGGACTCTGTCTTGCCGGAATTCTGTCCTAATTTCGATCAGANATAAAGTGTTTGGCTCACATCTTTCCGAGAAATTTTCCGAAACAACTTGATGATAGAATCAAATCATATCCCCGATAATGTGCGATGCTAAGGCATCGAGGTTGAAAATTCTGGTGCATAAATTACTGAAGTAGTGGTTGCATTCCTGGTTACTACCTTATCTTTAACTCCTTCGAGCCTCGGGCACTTCAATTTCAAAACTCAGTACCTATGAAGGTCAGTACGACGGTGAACAACAATCAAGAGTGGGAACACGTTGTAATGGCTGACTTCATTCACTCTCCTAAGAAATTCGGCAGTCAGATAAAGTATCGATCCAAGTGCTACGTTCCTTTCACCATTGGTTTGTTTGCCAAATGTATTATTTCGTCACTTTCTGACTGAACAGTTGTGGCGTACATACAAGCATCGATTTCTTCTCTATAAATAGTTGACGGCTTTAAATCAGATGCAGCGACCGCAAACAAATTTGTCAGTTCCTCCGCACAGACAATTTGGATTACAACAGAAAACCCTTTAGTGAAACACTGAAGAAACGTGTACATCCTTCGGTCTAAAAATTTGGATCACTGAATAACTGGTATCAAAAATGGATTTCCTGGTCAGCAGTGGTCAAACAGCTGGATGCCTGCGCATAGTAATTAGTCGCAGAATGTCTGCCGGAAGCCGCTAATGGTGCTCCACACAAGCTTTTGAAGCCAACGTAGATTCGAGGGAATAAGATCGGCGGGCGAACGAGCACAGCCCTGTTGAAAGCTATCGGTCGACCTAAACATGACAGCGCAACCATGGACATCGATATTTAGACGTCAGGCGTCAATTCTGTTGAGTGTCAGCATATTCCTGAACAATGTAATTGTTACCGCGAACCGCCCATTAATAATGGATAATGGCGGTACTATGTTAACATGGAGGATTATAATACTATCTTGTCTTTAGGATGATAATGTCGAATGGACAATCAATAAAAAATGGGACACATACTTCGGTCTCAGATAGTCACATTTATCAGGTAGATCAGTGAGTACGCTCTTGACTCACAAAGTCGATCCGCCTAAGTTAATTGTGTAGTCTCTGCAACTGAGTGTTGCAGTCTTTTACAGAGGTCATTGCAGGAAATATCTTTGTTGGATCCCTTGGGCACGACCGCACACGCGCGTTCAGTGCGATTTCAGCTGATGGACCGTGGCAGTAGGCGACATTGCAAACAAGTCTCGTGTTCATTCCTGGTAAGCGGTTCCTTAAAGGGTTGTAGGGTCCAACCCTACACACAGGTCCCATCCGATTCGAGCTCCAGCCTGCTAGTCGGTCAGCAGCACGGCTTTCAGAGTCACAACAGAGACTTATATGCTTCAAAACCCATTTAATGGATTCAGGGTGATTCCCGTGTGGAACATTCAGCCAGCTTGAGCTTTAAGGGAGTGCAACCTATCACCTGTAAATGCCTGATAGCATATTGTAATTCAAAGTCATTCGATTTACGCCAGCAAAGGACCAAATCGCCTCGCACACTATCGGTTAAATTCGACGAAAACGTTGGCCAAGTAGTCCACAGAAACAAAAAAGAAAACTATACATGGTGTCCTCAACGTGGTCAGAAAAGTTTCTAACCAAGTAAAAAAATAACGCCCTGCCTTTGGAATGTGCAAGAATATACCTACAGTCCATGATATGAAGACGAAGTTGCTGAAAAAGAGGCATTTAGAGAATGACGATCCAGGGCTGGAAATACTGTACGGAGTTGATTGTGTGTTATTTACATGCGGATAAAAAGTTCTCTCTTGTTGATCGATCAAACGCGATCCTTACTGGAACCAAAAATAATGAGGTATGATCACGCAAAGAAGACCTCAGAGGTCTCAGAAAGGTCGGTGTCAGTTCTTGTTAAGACAAATACATTAGGGGCAGCGGCACGGTTCGACTAGATGGTCTATAAGGAGTCAACCCGAAGGAGGGCTGCGTCAATAGGAAGACCTGTTGGAGGCAGAAAGCTTAGATGGACACCAGTACAGCAAGGAACACAGGGAAACTGTCTCAACTTATGCGGAAAACAGCGCTCAAGACTCGATCTGTTGCCAAGCCTATCGTAGATAACGTTGGGAAGCCACTTTCTGGTAGACGACAGTATCTAGACCGTTGGGTGGAATATTTACAGTAAGTTAGTAGGTCACCTGCTTTTATACCTCTGCGTTTCATTCACGGCACACTTGGAGCCATAAAAATCCATCGGGCCGCCGGGTCAGAAGTGCTTCCACCAGCACCACTTAAAAACGATACCGCCTTACCCCACGTGGGACAACTTTGTCTTTTGCCCCATAGTTATAGTGCCCGAAATTGTATTGGAACAAGAACGTCCTGCAGAAAGTTGTGGTCCATACGTCAACACTAACACAAAGCAGCCCCTGGCCACTTTGTTCTTTCTTGACTGCACATAAGATGAGCAAGATGATAAATTTATTGTATCTCATGGAGTTAGTTTTGAGCAAAATTTACTTGGGAACTTGGTTTGGGAAGACGGGGTCTCCTCAGAACCCCTAAATTCAACCGAAATCCCAATGGACCAAACAAGAGTGGGCAACTTTGAATGTTCACACCTCTCGCAGACGGTCCTTCTATAGAGTGACTAAATTAAAGAAACTTTCATGTCAGCTCTGGTCTTACACACAACCGAAATTCTGCTCGAATCAATTACAAGTTCATCATCATCCAACATCAGTGACTTGGGGTGGGAAAATTTACCGTGCAGATTTAGCATCAAGTTAAGGATCTTAGATTCTCGTCCCACACAATATTTGTAGGTACATATGAGTAGTATGACGTTGTCTGTACTGGGGCCATGGACATGTATGTGTAAGTGTACTTTCAATTCTGTGAAAACAGCATTAGACGAACTTGTTACCGCAGGCTGTTCTGTTGATTTCGGAAGCAGGTACTGGTTCAAATGGAGTGCCAGCACTATGTTCGCCACAAAGGACGATTGTATCTTATCACGTCTACCTCCACTGTGTAAAGTCCCAGTCGAATCCAGCCAAACTTGATCAAACCTATCGAATAAGTAGGAGCAATCGGACAGCTAGTATAGCTTAGGTGCTATTTGGCTCGAAGAAGGAACGAGGATAGCATATGTGCACACCAAAATGGCGGTTCAAACTAGCCCCAGTGGAGGTGAACTTAAATTAATGTAACTTAATTCGATGGTACTGTTCTCTATGGGAACCGACAAAGTGCGGTTGGAGTAACAGAGATTGATAATTCCGAAATCCAGAGTCACGTGAAAATAGTCTGTCTGACATCTCAATGTGAACTTTCTTATGTTGAGTCTGAGCTCATTTTTCAGGCAAGGAAAAGGAAAGCTCAAGCAGCAAACAACAAACTGAGACGACGAACAATGGATTAATTCATTGCCTTTTCAGGTTGATCATTCACTAGCTATTTTGCTGCAGAAATTCATTCGTTTAGTCGAAGGTTCTTTCTTTTTAGGGATCCAGATAAACTGCAGCATCGTTTATCCACCCGATTACATCCCGGAAGCTTGTGAAAAACTAATGTCTTGAATTCAAACGTCGGTTTATTACTACCGTTCTAAATAAATCAGATCAACGTAGAATCAGGTGTCACAGAATGATCTACAGCAGCTCTAATGGGACAATGACAATGAGTTTCCGGCCTGAAAAGGTTTCCCAAGTTCACACGCCTGTCGACCTGACATGTCGCATGTTTCACTTGCAGCTCACTGTGCTGTAGATATGTGATGTGAGTTTGCACATCGCTACACTAAGAGGACGTCTTTATCTGTATTCTTTAGATAAACTAGTAAAAAGCAATTTCACATGACGGTATGTACTTTCCAAGTTAGGAATGCAACGGTAATAAAGGTCCATTGAGGCCACTGACCAGCTCCCGGTTTTATTCTCGGGAACTCACAATATGCACCCGAAATAGTCCTTACTTTCACTTGGATTCCCAGTTAAGTGATTACGGATGCTCAAAAGAACCATAAGAGGCTTGTTTCATGAGAAAATCGTAATAACTGCATCAGCAAAACGGTGAAATAACAACTGTCCCTAGAGCCGGAGGGGGGCGAGATCGCTCAGTGGTTTGGGCGCAAATTTACTGACCGGATTGTCCGTGGTCCGAACCCGACCCCTGCCTCTCGACTTTCCCTGTCTAGGCTTGGGCAACTCGGCAGTATCCTAGCCCTCGTGCTTCCTTCTGGTCTCATGGCAGTTAGACACCGAATGGCTGCTACAGCTGACCTATAGCCCTGGTGCAGGTTCTTGTCTGAAAAGACCATGTGGTTTGACGATCGGAGACAAGAGCTTCTATCAACAGAAGGAAACTAAACTCAAATTAAATGGAGTGAGATAAGCAGTTGAATAACACTCAATCATACGACAGCTCTTTCCAGGTATATTTGGCAATTTTCACTGGTTCATTCACCGAATGTCTGCCTCGAGACACAGCAGGAATTGACGCAGTAGGATAAGTGAATGAAATGTCTTAAACCCCTCTGTTTTCATGAAGCAAGAAGAATGAATCGGCCGGTCAAACCTAAATCAAAGAGAGTGTTGCCATTCTTCGAAGGCCATATATTTGGCGCCAAAAAACTACATCTTTCCGCCAAGTTAAGACGACAAATCCAATCGGTGAAATGCTCCACCAGTTTTTATGTCCGCAGAATGCGTTTTGTGAAATGACGTAACTGATATCTATTGACCAGTAGGTTCGATAAAAGCTTTGTTCAGAGCCTGGACTTGTCGTAAGACCAAAATCGCTTACCGTCACTTTTTTTGAAGACACAGAAAGACGTCATAAGTAGGATGGAATGTGACCGTTTCCATCTGATACGTGTGCAGCCTATGCAACCCTGGGACGAATGGTTCATGAACACTGCCAAGAATAACAGTGCACAAGCTTTATATTACCGGTCCTTTTCGTACAATGTTAACCACTTACCCATGTAGCACTGAAAAGCATCGCCAAACCACAAATAGAATGAATTGCGTTGCAGTGTCAACATACACGTTATTACTATGCTGTATTTCCATCCGCAAGAAAGATTACCAGATGATAGGAAATCTCTTGGCCTCTTCTTGGAAAGAAAATTATTCAAGTAGGTATGTAGGATCAAGATGAGTGCTCCATGCTTCTACGGAAACCGTGTCAACTCTCCGTAATTTTAAACTGCATGTCTTCTCCTGGTGGGTGCCTCTAAGTATAAACACATTTTTCGGTTTTTACTTCAAAGAAAACGGACGGATTTACTCGTTCGGATAGACAGCATTTCATTTATTTCACTTGTTTTTATTTCGTTTTTTAAACGCCCTTAAAAAATCTTCATTCGTAATCACATCCAGTATAGCGAGAAATATCGCAGTCCAAAGTTGACACCGAACAGTGAGCTATACAACAATATCTTGAACGATCAGCTAAATGTCAACCTGAAACCTGTCCAAACGGAGAAATCGGCCTTCTTAAGCTAGGGTAGTTGCAAGTTCACAGTACTGATAACT